CTGACAAATATTCAGTTGAGCAGCACCCAGTGTGGGCCCGGGGGACAGAAGACAGAATCCTTGCTCCTCTCTCAGGCCAGGCAGCCTAGCTCAGTTGCCTGCAGCCAGCCACCCTCCTGATCAAGTCCTTGCCCAAAAGAAAGTGAAATCATTTGTTCTTGTATGAAATATTAGAAACCCTCAAACCTAAGGGCTGGCTTTGGAATTGAGAAATCACTTGCTACAAGGAAACTTACATTATTAGAACTTTAACAGCTGGATCCAGCTTCTCTTCCTAATTCTGAGAGTGCATCTGCTGCCTCTGGAAGTTGCTGTTGCACAGAATATATCCCAAGCCTTCACACAAAGGCTGATTCACTTAAAGGATTTGACCTCTACCATATCTTGGGTAAAATTCTCTCTCTCCACACAGAATTGTTCTCAAATTTTTATCAATGGTGTGGTTTTCCCTCTTGAAGATATGAGAAAATGACAATTTCAGAAGATATATTTGGAAGAGGAGCTACTCCTATTTCATATATTATGGAATAAATTTCTTCTCTCCCAAATGAACCATTTTTTTTCCTCACAGCCAATCACAGACTTGGTGTGAGGTGGAAATGAGCCAGTACAAATAAGAGTGTACAGCAGTCTGACCCAGAGAAAGCTCTCATATGTATATCTAGCTTTTAAAAGGCTGAAATCCAATGTGGATACGGATATGCACAAACGAGACATAAATTGGATCACACTCAGGGAGCTAACGATTCTACTTTATGAACATATCCCAGGAAAAAAATCATAGCTGTGAAGACTTATGTGTACCGATGGTCAGCAGAGATTTGTTTGTGACTTTAAACCTGGGTTTTGTAAATTTCCAACAATGAGTCGCTTACCTAAATTTCCAACAATAATGGAATAAGTAAATTGTGCAACTTTTCAAAAGCATATTTGTGAGCGTGTTTGGTGCTATACAAAAATGGCCTTGACCGGTGAAGAGGGATATAAAACCATCCCTATAGTATGATCTCAGTTATACACATTTGTTATGACTTGTGTCTAGGTGTCCCCCAAAGCCTCATGAGGTCATAGGTGGGGCTTTTCAGAGGTGGCTGGATCTAGAGTGTGTGATGCTGGGATTACAGATGTGATGCTGGGACTAATTCATGGTTCGAGGCTAGGAATAAGGCTGCCCCACCCTAAATTGAGTGCTACCTACCGTGGGCAGGTAGCCTAGACAGAATACAAAGGACAGAAAGAAGGCTGCTGTTGTCACTTGCTACTTGCTACTTCTTCCCTGCTTTGCTGCCTTCTGCCTGCCATGGACTGTTTCTCCTCTGCGATGCCCATCTGCCGTGCCACCCTGCCTTAGAGCCAGCCAACTGTGAACTGAAACCTCTACAAACTGAGCCAAATACACCTTTCCTCCTTTCACTTTGGGTGTTGGGTAGTTAGTCTCAGCGACAAGAAAAGTAACTGAGACAACACTCCAAAGGAACATCCACAGAACAACTACCTCCAAAAAAAGACTGGAAGGAAATATCCAAAGTTTGTTGCGTTTTGTACATAAGAAGATTCTTCGCTCACTTCAGCATTTCCTACATTGCAATGAGTGTGTTTGAAGTCTACAAATGGAAAAACAAAATATAAAACAGTTGAGAGCCTATTCCAACACTACAATTTTTTTTTAACGGATGAGGTGGCCAGGGGTAATGGGTGGCAGACCATTCCATTGTGAGGCACGGTCCTCAGGAGCTGGGGTCCTCCCAGAAAGAGCGGACAGAAGCTCGAAGCTTTCCAGCTTGACTGATAACATGGACAAAAGACAGTGTAATGATCCCCCTGGGAAATGGAGGAAGGAGGACGGGGAAGGGCAGGTGGGGAGGAAGAAGAATGGATTCTGCTGGGTCTGCAGCACCCAGAGACACCCAGGGAAAGTGGGAGCTGGAGCTGCAGGACTGAGGCTTGGGGAGGAGGCTGCTTTGAAGGCCCGGGTGTGGGCTCCGCAAGGAGCCCTTGTGGTTGTAGGCCTGGCTGAGGGCGCCCAGCCACGTGTTCGGCAGGTCCCAGGGAGGGGACAATCAGACTGTGCTCCTGTGGAGGCTCAGACGCTTGGGCTCTGGGTCTTTCCCCCTTCTGTCCCCAGTGAGATGTTCTCCCTCAGCCACAGGCACTGCTGCCTGGGGATGGTGAGGGCTCTGTCAGGGACTCGCTGTGACCTCAGTGCCGTCCATCACTGTGCCTGCTGTTCCCCCTGTGCATGGTAAAGCTCTCTGATCTTTACAGATCAGATTGCTACTGCGTATTCTGTAGGAATATTGTTTACAACAACAGCCCCCGCCTCGACCCGGCCAGTTTCGGGGCCAGGAAAGAGCGACTTCCACAATAGCTCCCCTCATCATCTCACATTCTCCACTAAATCTTCACTTTCCAGTCACCAGAGCCCCCTCATGGGTCCAAGCGCCTAAATATTCCTCCTTATAGACTAGTGTCTCTGTGTCACCTGTCGTATCTCCTGTGTCCTTTATGGCAGCCACGGGCTGGAGCCTCCCGGGGACAGCGACCAGGCTCTTTGCCTCCAACCAGTCCCTGGCCAAAAAGCACGGGAGAGACATCTGCTAAGTGCTCACGGAGGAAGCGAGTGGGCGACACTTATGTACGTCCACGGCACACACTGCTTCCTCGCTTGCACACGAGTGAAAGAAAGCTACAGTCCACAGGAGGGGAGCAGGAACAGCACACCGGGTCCTGCTGTGTGTGGCCTTTCTGCCTGACAGCTCTCTCCTCTCAACTCTGTCAAACAGCCGTGTACCCGGGTCACCAGGCTCTCGGAGCTCAACCCAGAGTAAATATGCACAAGGCAGAATGGGTCCTGCGAGGGCAAGGGGGCACATTTTCATAGGAAGAAAGGATTTCACAGATCAACACTGCAAGCTGCTGGCTGCTCCGATCAGGATTTTCCCCCACGCACCTTTACATAGGTGCTAATGAGGTGCCAGGCACTGTTGGGAGCTCTTTACAAATATCTTATTTAATCCTTGTAACAACCTCCAGAGAGACAGGCACTATCTGTATCCCCACTTTATTTTCATACAGTACTCTTAGCATTCAAAGCAGCTGTCCTGAAATGAGGCGAGGCGGAGCTCTTCAGCCACTGAAGAAAGAAGCAAGGGAACACAGCAGCTACGTTAGGTCCAGGGCTCAAACGGCTCAGGCTGACGGTCAGCCTTTGATCCCACGGAACGCCACACCACCCGCCGAGCACGTGCTGGGCACCTACCGCATGCCCGGCACTGTCCTCTGAGAGTTTACAGCCCGTGGGGGAAATGCACACCAAACAAATACATTTCCAGCCTACATCACAAGGTGAGGGTCAGGGATTGTCTCTGGCTAGGCTTTCTGGAAGGTATGAGTCCGCTCTGTGTTAGCGGATGGACCGAGCTCAAGGTGGCCCCGGAAAGACCGGGTGGGGATAAGAGTCCAAAGCTGCACGGCACTCATGCTAAGGGGTTTGGGGACAGTGTTGTAGCTGGAAAAGGAAGAGACAGGAAGGGTTAGGGGTGAGGGCTAAGGCGGTGGCCTTCACTGCAATATCAGGAAAGCTCAGAGTCACCAAGGTTTCTGTTAAGGAAAGATCATTTAATCCGATGTGTGCCCGAGGGTAGAAAAACTGAGACTAGTCAGGAAGCTGGCTTCAAGCACCGAACACGGAACAGTGGGTGTGGGGAGAAGAGTGCTGGATTCAGGGCTATTTAGGGACACTAGGCTTTGCACTGACTGGAACACTTGCATGAAGTACAAGGTGACAGCTGGCTTCTGACACAGACATCCAGGGGGCAGTGTCCCCACTGGTTTTGGGGGGCGAGGACAATCTCAGCGGTGACAGGCTTGGGAAAAACCCACTGGCCAGCAGAAATTCTCTGCAGTCCCTCAGACTCTTGTTCACAATGCCTTTGAATAAAACACGACACGTTTCATTCTGTTCTCACGGTGAAAAAATCATTGCCCTTCGCTGGGAAGTAATAACCTTTTGAGTTAGTAACCTTTGGGTAGGAAAATTGGTTTCATGAATACCTCTCCTCCCACTCCATGGGCCCATCATCCCCCGGCTCTGCTGTCCCCTGAAACCAAAAGCCCAGGACTCATTATTTATGAAGCCTGAATGATTTTATGCTCAGAAAGAATGATCAGGGTCTCTAGAAACTGGGCAGAATGGAGTTACTGGCCAGAATGGCCAGTGTGTTCCTGAGTTTGGCCACTGAGGGAGGTGGGAGCTGTGCCCTTGAGAGACGGAGGGTCACTCACCTTACATGGGCCCCACAGAAAAGGCTCCTTCCAAGGCCTCTGAGAGATAACCATGGGTCCTTCTCTACTGACAAACTCCGGCGCAGCCACCAGCCATCCAGAGTCCAGAGTCCCGAGCTTTCAGTGTACTGGGCTGCCTGGCCTGTCTCCTATCTCCTGGGGTCCACAGGCTTTAAAGTCTCACAGGTCCTCATGCTGTTCCCTGGGCCCAGGAAGCCTCCTACACACACACACACACACACACACACACACACACACTCACACACAGGCCTCAACATCCTTCCAAGCCAGGAGCAACACCCATTCCACTCCCTGAAAAGCCCCCTCAGCCACACCCTCCAACCAGCAGATCCATCACCTGCCTGGTGATCACCCCACCCCACCGACCCCACACTGCCCCTGCCCTGCACACTGGATTTGACATGCTGCCTGCATAGTGTCGCCTGACTAAGATGCTCTCCTTAGCACTGAGAGAAAGGCCTGGGTTCAAATCCTACCTCCAGCGCTCACTGTCAGTGTGGCTGGGGGCGGGCCTTGCCCCTCCTATGTTCCTCATGTCCCAGTCACCCCTCCAGGGCTTGACTCCTGCTCACGGGGATGGCAGGACAGAGGAACAGAGGATCCAGCCCAACTCTTCATCAGGCCCTCCCCAGTCTCCCTATATCAGAGCTGAGATGGACACCAGGCTGAGTGCCGTCCCTGATTTTATACTGCAGAGCCAGTGGGGAGAAGACCTCAAGCCATGGAAACAAAAAAGGCACCGCAGAAGACAGAGACCAGATTCCTTCTCTTCCCTGCGGAGCACAGCAGGGGCTGTGAGATCGGGCTGCACCTGCCCGGCTCGCTGCAGGAGTGCGGTTTCAACTCCTCCCAGCCACTGGTGCTCATCGTCCACGGCTGGTCGGTATGCAGGCTCCCTGGCCTTCTTTCAGCCTCCACGGTGCCTTTCTTTCCTGGCAGCTGCACTGTAACAGAGACAGGGGCGGGTAAGGCCTCCTGACTTGCGGTTTCCCCAGCGCTGCCCGCACGTCGTCTCAGTGGCCTCCACTGCGCAGGAAGCTAGGCAGGGAGGGCATAATGAGCTCATGGTCCAGGTAAAATGGGGCTCGAGGTCACACGGCTCACCGGGTCACAGGTGGGGACACTGTCCATGCAGGCGGGAGGGTCCTGCAGACTTCAAACCGGGGCTAGGATACCGGAGACAGGGAATCCCAAGGAAATGTCTATCAGCAAGGGTTAAAGTCGGCTGCAAATAACAGACATCCGGATTCTCAGTAGCTCCAATAAAACAGGTTTGTTTCCATTTCACTCATTAGTCCAGAGACCTAAAGCAGCACTGACCAGAGACAGCTTTTGTCAACAAAGTCCACAAGGCTCCAGTCCTTCTGGCTGTCATCTTCATAGTCCAAAATAGCAGCAAGGGAGCTTGCCATCTTTATTCCAGGCAGCACAATATAGTTCGGAAGCCAGATATCACCTGTACCCAAAGGCACCTGGTGGACATCTGGTAAATGGGGTGACCACAGGCCATTAGCACAGCAATCCAGTCTCGCCTCTGCTATCTCTTCTCCCATTCCTACCCAGGAGTCCAGCCCTCTCATGATTCTGCCCTCTCTACTGCTGTTGCTCTTCCTCCTGGACTTCCCTAGACCCCAGGACCACCACTCTCTTATCTGTCCTCGTTCTCTTGCTAAGCTAGGTTTTCTCCAACTCTGTGCTCTGGGAAGCACTCAGACCGGTGCTCACACGGGGTGCCCGAGGACACCCCTCCAGAGGCCACACAGGAGGACCCTGGGGACCTGATTTATAGATTTTCCCTTGCTGCGGGCTCACAAAGTTCCCGCGCAGGGCCAAGTCAGGCTGTGCTTCTCAGGTCGGGAACAGCTGCCAGAGTCCAGAGACATTTCTGGTTTTCCAAACCCACAGGTGGACGGCGTGCTGGAGAGCTGGGTGCACCAGCTGGCGGCCGCGCTGAGGACCCGGCCGGTGAACGTGGGGCTGGCGGACTGGCTGCCCCTGGCCCACAACCACTACGCCATCGCTGTGCGCAACGCCCGCC